ATGCCATCAATAACTGAATTACGGCTGTGTCTAAGTGTGGCACGATTATTTTCAAATTGTCGTGATAAATCATGAATATTCCTCACTGTATTTCGTTTAGAGCAAAGAAACACAATTGGAAATGCATGGTGTTCTACTGACCTGATTATCTTAAAGTAGTAGGTTCGTCTGAGATTCGCCGCAGATTCCAAGACGTCTGAAGGCAGGGTCGTTAAGGTCGCTCACAGAAGACGTAAAAAACGTGTTCAAGAAAAATAGCACAACAGGAAAAGAAGACCTTGATAAGTGCATCAAGAACGTCCAAGAAGAATTCAGAGGCAGCCCTTTCTTTCACAGAAATCAGAAGAGTCACAGAAACGTGCACCTGTAATCACCTTCTGCACACCTGTATGGACAAGCTGTTGACAGGATTCACAGATTGGGTATCGGAGGTTCGGTGTTATCATGTTATCAGCAAATAGCTCTCGACTATTGCTCCTTGTCTGTGGAGGTTGAGATTGTCGGGCTGGATGGCCCCCAACGTGGCGAAGTTATGTTAACAATGTCAGAAGCAGACCACCTCGATGGACCTCGGCGACATGATGTTGATAAAGTATGTTGTTGGCATGTGGAGGTCGTAGTAGATGTTGATTGCGGGGTGATGACCGTGACAAAGATGCTGGAGATTTGAAAACGATTTTATAGGGTTATCAGTCGTACCGTGACTGTTTACATGACGAATGTGTAAGGTAATCCGTCTGGTCCAAATGCACCGGTGTAGTAATGGATATATAAGCCAATGCACCAGATGAGGCAGTTGGATAACCTAGTGGGTAAAGCGTTCGCTCGTCACACCGAAGACCGGGGTTCGTTTTCCAGCATTGGTAGAATGTGCAAAGCCCATTTCTGATGTCCGATATTGCTGGAATATTGCTAAAAGCGGCGTAAAACATAACTCACTCACTCTCACTCCTAAGAAAAAAGGTCACAGCTAGCTGGCAACTGTCAACCGAGACCCGGATGACCCAGCCGACAATTCGGCGAAACAATTCGAAGCATTGCAGCAATGTTTCCCTTAGAAGGCAAGTTACCTTTCACATTCGGTTCGACTCCGGTTCGCTCTGAATATGCTTAGGCTTTCGAGCTGCACATCATTGCCCTGGTTTTCACAAAATTGGTTCATGTATGAAACCAACATCACTATCAGTCTGACAAGCCATGATATCACTGAAGTACTCAACCTTAAAATAAACGCACTCACTCATTATATCTATTAACATGGAATTTATCGGATATTTTCTTCCCAAGGGCCTCAAAATTGACCTGCATAAGATTATTGTTAATTTTGTAATCCAACCAACAAGATCAGATTTCAAACTATAAGTTCAATATCTCATACATTTCTATGAATGTGATGACTTGAAACGAATAGGGGGAAAATATGGCCGAGTTGACCTCCATATGGAAGAATCTATTGGAGCTGGGAAACTGATACCAACGGTTACATGAAATTATGATTTACTTTAGATCAAAATAGTTCCTAGATCTTCACGAAGGGGAAAAGCCCCAACACTAACATTCCGATCCAGGAGAACTAATTAGCTTCGCAGTGCGACACCTCGTGGTTCTTAAACCGAACACATCGTTTGCCTTAATATTTGGAGTGATTACCATTAACAACATTGCTGACGTCAGCAAACTAATTAATTATTTATCGTTCGACACCCAACAAGGAAACCTAATTCCAAACAAATATGGTAATTGTTTCGATGGTTTTTTATCGCATCCAGCCACCACTGAACTCGGGTCTTCAGCGTGATGAGCGAACGCTTTAACCACTAGGCTACCCTGCCGCCATTTTTTTTGTTGGTAATCATTATTATTGTCATTTTTTTGTGTGTATTATTATTTTATTCATATTTTTTAAAAGAAAAATTAGTTTGACACACAGTTCCATCAGAGTTCCACACGTTTGTTGAAGGACGCAATTTGAGTTATGATGGTTTTGGCATATTGCAATGTCGTCACACATTGCACCCATTCGGGGAATCGTACCCGGGTCATAGGCGTGACGAACGAAGACGTTAACCACTAGGCTATCCCACCAACCCGAATTTAGCAAGAAGGTATGCGTTATTGCCCCTTGCGGACTTCAGGATGCACTAATACGATGGGTCTGTGGTCTCCTATTTTAACGTCTGTGCCATCGCAGATAGTTGCTATCAACTGCTGGCTTGTGTGATCCATGAGTAAAGTACCTACTGTACAACAGCATTCACTGACTGAGTCACTTAAAAGACGGCTACATGTTGGCATCATATGACCAACATGCTACGTAAGTGGTATACGTAAGTGAATACGTATAGTGAGTGAGTGAGTGAGTGAGTGAGCGTGCAAATTTATCGGCAATATCTCAGCCTAACTGTGATGAGAGAAAATTCCACGTCAATATCAAATATATTCAAACCGTATAAAATCATATCGTCAAAGGACAGTGTTACATGCAACTAGATTATCACATTTTAAACTGGTCAGAAAGCATGTAAAATGTTAAACTGCCAATAAACAACATAATATAAACATGGGCTAGCAACCAAAGTTAGTTTTGGTTATATCCACGATTAATCAACTATTGGCGGTTGTACTTCGTCAATATAACCTATAGGTAAACCATTAAACAGCAGTGAAAATGGTTTGTATGAAATAAATTCGGATAACCTCTTCGACACATTAACACTATAGTTCTGTTTTTACCATTTCCAAGGGTGCTTTCAATTTGTGTTTTCTTTTGTGCTAGTATTTTGTGACTATTTTATTGTCATATCCCGTGTGTTGACCTTTGAAACCCAATTTGATCAATGTAATCTCAATCAGAACTCGTTTCAGCCCCAGTTCACATTTTCTAAGTTACTACAGTCGAGTTAACGGTAACTGTATCTTTAATGTTCACCTTTTCCCCAGAGACAGGTAGAACATAGTCACCTGTGTAGGCAGGTAAGAGATAACTGTGCAGGGGTTCTTGTAACGCAGCATCATATCAGACCCACGCGAATTAAAATGTAAATAAACAATTAGGAAATATCTCTTTCCATCGCCACCGCCCGCTGTGTGTGTAGACGTGTTTGGGCTATTCAATTTGGATATTTCGATAACAAGGATTTTATCTGCAATAACCGATATGAACAGGGCGTTTGAGATTAAGTATGTTGGCTAAAATCATCTTTCAACAAGCAAATGTAATGTCAGGAATGCCTATTTGTATCATGAGCTGGTGTTAGACAAGGAGGTTCTCTTCCCACTCCTTTTTTAATAGTATTTACAGAACTATTTACATTAGTCAACGTAAACACGGAACAATTCTTGAAATAAATCAAAAGTAGTAGACATTTTAAATCACAGCTTACTGGTGCGTGAATTAATGTTGTTTGACCCCTATTCCATTATAAATCGGCTAAATTTCAATGATCTTAAAATGGCTAAGTAAAGTAAAGTAAGCCTGGCAAGTAAGTGATAGACATCCCCGGCTACTATCCGTGTTGCAGATGTAGCTAACATAAACCATGCAATACATCCGTGAAGATCCGGGTTAGAATTGATCTTCATTACTGACTGACTGAGTGAGTTTAGTTTTACGCCGCTTTTAGCAATATTCCAGCAATATCACGGCGGGGGACACCAGAAATAGGCTTCACACATTGTGCGCATGTGGGGAATCGAATCCGGGTCTTCGGCGTGACGAGCGGACGCTTTAACCACTAGGCTACCCCACCGCCCTGATCTTCAGTAACCCATGCTTGTCGTAAGAGGCGACTAACGGGTTCGGGTCGTCTGGCTCGGTGATGTGGTTGACACATATCATCGTATTTCAATTGCGTAGATCGATGCTCATGTTGTTGATCACTGGATTGTTTGGTCCAGACTCGATCATTTACAGACCTCCGTTTTATAGCTGGAATATTGCTGAGGGCGGCGTTGCACAACCGACCAATCAACCGAACAATACAAATCATACACCTCTGGTTCATGGTAGCTGAAAATGACGCCAGCAAGAAATAGTGCATAGATGAGGATATATTTTATGCGATAATACATGCATGATGTCAGTGGGTATTTCCCAACAGGCGGCGTACACATGGCTGCTGATAGAACAAGGGGTCGCAAATTTCAAGCGGACACTTGCAAGGCAGCCCTATCTCACATTGTGACCATACAATCCCCAACTTACTTCGCTGCTCCTGAAACACATGGATCAAGACGAAACTGACGACGAGCACGTCAGAAGGTCCAGTCAAGACATTGATCCTCTCACAATAAGTGAGTGAGTTTAGTTTTACGCCGCTTTTAGCAATATTCCAGCAATATCACGGCGGGGGACGCCATAAATGGGCTTCACACACTGTACCCATGTGGGGAATCGAACCCGAGCCTTCGGCGTGATGAGCGAACGATTTAACCACTATGCTACCCCACCGCTCCCTTTCACAATGAGTCAAGACAGCACGTGTACAGTAATATATGAACATAACCATATCATCACCATTTTGACAGGGGAAATGCCAAATATGATACAGGTACATATGCACCGCCACAGACACTTGTTTGTCACTGGCACTGAGAAATCAGATAGGGCGTCTTTAGCTATCAAGTAATTTGAAACGTACAGTAAAGAGTCAAGGGGAGAATTCTGACACGTCTCGGCACGTTACCATTGTAACTACACAATTTAGGCGACACTGGGGGCTAATTGCTTCCTGGAATTCCTTTGCGGAGTGTCAGTCTGACATCAACGATGTCGGAAGTGGTTTTAGTGATTTTTTTGGTGCGTTTTAAATATTTTATATAAGAAGGTATTTCAGAATATCCATGTATGTATATTTTTAAGATTCAACATTTTGAAAAGTAATTTGGAAATTTGTAACTGTTGGAACATATTAGATATGTACAAGACAAGTTCAAGACTCAAAGTACATGGTCTTAATACCAAGAAGCAATGTAACAAAAAGATTTTTTCCTTCTATAGTATGCAGGTGAGTGCGTGCGTGAGTGGGTGGGTGGATGGGTGAGTGAGTGAGTGAGTGAGTGAGTGAGTGGGTGAGTGAGTGAGTGGTGAGGTGAGTGAGTGAGTGAGTGAGTGAGTGGGATAAGCTATCATATAACACATGTCTTCGGTGTAACGCTTTAACCAGATGACAACCTAACACACCATTTCCTGTGAGTAAAATGACATAGACACTTTTCATCAGAAGCACGCATGCATCTCTCTGTGAGTATATTTTTACATTATTACGTCTTTGAAGCCGATTGTGGGATTCATTCGACCTCATGGTGTTACCGCACGACCTGAGCAAAATACACTAATATTTATTGACGATTTATCCAAGGCAATAAAAGGATAGGGCAGAGAGCTGCGAAGTTTGAAAATCATCAGGACCAATGGAACATTAAGTGATAAACATATTAAAGTGCATGGAAGCTATCAAATCACAGAAACTGCCTTGAACCTGTCCTAAAAATTGAAAAGATGCGTCATTCCGCACGGAGAAATGTCCTCCAAGAAACCTGATGTAACGTCATCAATAAAATGTGACATGAACTAATTCTGAACTCCGCTACCGTTTTTTGAACTTGGAAACGCTTTGAAATTCATATTTCTTTGAAAACCGGTATGATTTAATTTAAATCAATAATAGCTTTTAATCGAGGTCTTCATGACCTTAGCTTGAACTTTAAATAAAATCCAAACCCGGCTTGACCTCATAACAGTCGATGAAAACGTTCATTTCTTTTTCAAGCTGCTGTTGATAATCGATCGAGGAATGTTTGATTGTGTGCTACTGTTCGAAGAGAACGCACAACCAAACCTATTCTCATTTGTTTCTTCAATATACTGTGATGTAACAGGACAGAACTGAGAGTTAATGGAACATCGTACACATTTATTCAGGTCAAACATGCTGCCAAAGAGCATTAAGTGTTCAATTGCATCGCCATTTGCTGTGTTGGAATCTTAGATTCCCCATGGTTACGACGGATGTAATCACCACTCCATCTTCAGCAACCCATGATTTGTTTCGGGCATGTCATGTCACGCCGATTTGTTTCATACAACTTATGTCACGATGATTTGTTTATGCATGTCATGTCACGCCGATGTGTTTATCATGTCATGTCACGCAGACTTGTTTATGCATGTTATGTCAGGCCGATTTGTTTCGGGCATGTCATGTCACGCTGATTTGTTTCATACATCTTATGTCACGATGATTTGTTTATGCATGTCATGTCACGCCGATGTGTTTATCATGTCATGTCACGCTGATTTGTTTATGCATGTCATATCACGCCGATGTGTTTATCATGTCATGTCACGCAGACTTGTTGCTGCATGTCATGTCACGCAGACTTGTTTATGCATGTCATGTCACGCTGACTTGTTTATGCATGTCATGTCACGCTGATTTGTTTTATGCATGTCATGTCACTGGTTTGTTTATGAATGTCATGTCACGCTGATTTGTTTCATACATGTCATGTCAATCACTCGAGTGTATCCCATTTGCGTAGATCGATGCTCATGATATTGATCACTGAATCCGGGTTAAAAGTACTAGTGGTCTCCAGCAACCCATGCTTGTCGTAAGTGACCACAGGAGGTCATTGACTTCGTTGATGGATACCATCGTGTCCCTATTGCTCAGATCATGATGTCAATCACTGGAGTGTCTGGTCTTGTTTCCAGAATTTTAGCCTTAGGTTATAGAGTTGGAATATTGGTTAACAAACCAACCAACCAACAAACAAAAATCAAACTTTAACACTTCTTCACATACGTCTTACCTTCAAATATAACCAACAGTTATTTCTCAGATATAGAAATCAGTCAACAAGATACAAGAGGCTCACAACCAAAACCATATACACACAGAACTTAGTTAAGCACCTCCTGACATATCTCACGATTGAGTGAGCCCCGATTTCAACCCTTTGGAGCATATCTGGAACATGATTGGTCGTCGAGTGCAACAAAGGGATCCTCCTGTACAGAGCCTGGCCCAATTGGAAGCTGCTTTACACGAGGAATGGCATAGACTGCTTTAAGGGGGTATGAGGAGGAGAGTGCTGGCTGTCGTACAGTCACATGGAGGTTGCACTTGGTATTGACCGTGTAAGACATGCAAAATGACATTTTGAATGTTCACATTCACCAATAATTCAACATTAATAATTCCAGCGCCATACTTGTACAGATATGGTTTTGTATGAAAATCAGTTGTTGTTTTTTTTTATAATAGGCAATTATCATCATAAAATCAACATGGATTCCAATCATTTTGTCGTTTTATGAGTCAAAAGATCATACGGGTCAGAAAAACGCATGCTTTTCCATCGTGGTAACCACGAGAAGTTTTATGCACTTAATTAATTATAAGTTCTTTGTGTATATTAAAGACACTGTAAGACGCTTCACAGAACTAGTATTCTGGGAATGTTTCCTCGACCCGACCTGAGCGACTGGGAACAAAGTGAATATCTTAGCTGCAGGGTTTGTGACAGTTTGTCACTCTTGAATGGCATCTTTCGTGGCACCTGTTTCAGATTTAACGCACGATAAGAAGGTGGACATATTTTGATAAATGCGAAAGTAGCTTGAGGTTCTGACTTGTCTGCGAAATGCATTATTGATTACCGTGATATGTCATCCACATGAGGTTTATAGATTCCAAAGTTATGCAACATGTATATGCAATGAGTGGAATGTCACAGGTATGTGCCAGCTGCATGGACAGTGTAGCGTGAGTGAGTGCGTGAGTTAGTGCATGAGTGAGTGAGTGAGTATGTTTTTACGACGCTTGTAGCAATATTCCAGTAATATCGCGACGGAAGACACCGAAACGGGCTTCACATATTGTACCCATGTGGGGAATCGAACCTGGGTCTTCGGCGTAACGAGCAAACGCTTTAACCACTAGGCTACCCCACCGCCCAACTCAGAATGAACAGTCAAAGGAATATAAGTAATATCTACAGTTTTATACACAACAGGTAGGTATATTCAGATCGCTGTCGGATATTCAACGTACTGTGCTCACATGAGTTTGTATTGATACACCGTCGATGTCTATCTAATAAAACACATTCACAGAGTGTTGATCAGATCAGTAATTCTGTTCGTTCGTAACATGTAATGTCTTTTATCATTGATAAGATTACTGCTGATTGAATAATCTCTAAAATGAGGATCTTTTGGGTCGGTCATAATTACATTACTCAGTTTCTGATATTTGTTGTCTAAGCAATATTGACTTATTTCACTAGAAAAGATAGCAAAATGGTTTGCATTCTACTTTCACGTACTTTCTCATCACGCGTTCCTTTAGATGTGGGGAGAGAATAAAGGATACCCAACATTCCGTAGTTTATCATCATGATTTAAATGAGGATCTGATTAAGAAAATTGGATGCAAATAGCCTCTTTGGTGAAAGTGAATGAGCACTGAGCAATTATAAACAAGTAAAATCTCAAATGAACAGAAGATGCGTGATATGATATAAAGAATAGGGCGTTTATCTAAACGGCTGATATGAGCAAATATAGCACGAATTCAAAGAGCATCGGCAAAAAGACTGCAATGAGCAAATGGAGATGGAATACATAACCAATGGGGCATAAAGAGCAACCGGAACAAAATAAGTGAGTGGGTGAGTTGAGTTTTACGCCGCACTCAGCAATATTCCAGCTATATGGCGGCGGACTGTAAATAATCGAGTCTGGACCAGACAATCCAGTGATCAACAGCATGAGCATCGATCTGCGCAATTGGGAACCGATGACATGTGTCAACCAAGTCAGCGAGCCTTACCATCCGATCCCGTTAGTCGCCTCTTACGACAAGCATGGGTTACTGAAGATCAGTTCTAACCCGGACCTTCACGGGTGGCACGAAATGAAGAAACACATCATGAACATAGAGAATAGACACAAAACAAAGAAAGGTGCTTGGAGTGCAGACACACGGTGATTGCAAACAGCATACACAAACAGAGAAAGAACAATGTAGAGAGTATACATAACACAATGTAGAGAGTAAACACACAACAGTGGGTGAGTGAGTGATTGACCTTTTACTCCGCTGTTAGCAATATTCCAACAATATCACGGCCGGGAACACCAGAAATGGGCTTCACACATTATGCCCATGTGGGAAATCGAACCAGGGTCTTCAGTGGGACGAGCAAACACAAGAGAATTGTGGAGACGGAACATAACACAATATGGAGAATAAACACAAGGGAAATGTAATCATGAACACAGAACAGAAGAGTAGTGACTGAACACAAAACACTGTAAATAATAAACACCAAGCAGAAATGTAGTGATTGAACACAACAGAAATATAGTGATTGAACATAACACAATTAAAAAAAAAGAATAAATACAAAACAGAAATGTTAAGACTGAACACAGCACAACGCAAAGAATAAACACAAGAGAAATTAGTGACTGAACACAAGACAATGTAGAGAATAAACACAGAGAAATGTAGTGATTGAAAACAACACAACGTTGAGAATAAACACATAACAGAATAATAGTGACTGAACACAACACAACGTTGAGAATAAACACAGAGAAATGTAGTGATTGAACAACACAACGTTGAGAATAAACACAGAGAAATGTAGTAACTGAACACAACCCAACGTTGAGAATAAACACAAGAAAATTTAGAGACTGACCACAACACAACGTTGAGAATAAACACATAACAGAAATGTAGTGACTGAACACAACACAACGTTGAGAACAATCACAAAGGGAATGTAGTGATTGAACACAACACAACACAAAGTAGCGAATAAACAGAACACAATGTAGACAGCAAACAACTGAAGTCACTACCATCAGTTCCCCAAACAAAACCTCCAGACATGAAAGATAAAATGTTCAACAACAATACAACCCGATTATCAAAACGTTTGCTATAGACAACGGAAGACTTCAAACTACGATTCAACAGGAAATATCCTTCCTCGATTTCGCCCGAAGGAAACGCGCTGAGTGATAAATAAAACGACAAACCTCGGGCTAACATCGTACGGACACTATCCTATCGCAATTACATTGTAGGATCTACCATTTCTCCCAAAGCTGTAAACTATTTAGATCTTTCTGGAGCCAGAGCGAGTTTTGCCTAATCTCGCGTAATCTCGCCAAGACAACGAGCAAGCTATTAGAGACACGGGCCGTGCATACAGACAGGCACCGCTTTCGACATGCCCGAGTCAGATACTCCGATATAGCAACATTGACGTCAGGCAGCAGAAAACATGTCCGTTTGTTTGAAGACGACTTTTCAACAAGAGATAACTGTTCTAATTCGGTCAGACTTAAAGATGCACCGCGAATCAGATGTGCTTAGAACATGTTCTGTCGTTTTAAGAGAATCCGGTTTTATTAATGTTCTGGAAAGTGGATTTCATAATGGTAGCCTTGATATGCGCACTCTTATGGAGTTCGAGAGCGGTTGGCCCGTCGTCTGAGGCGCCGAAATTTGTTATGCAGAGTTGCGTCCCTTAGGCACGCTAGAACCCTATGATTCTGGGTTCGAATCCAGGATTGTCCCGGTTATGAAAACCATGCTCCCTGTCTGTTGGAATTTCATTAACAATACTATGTAAGGCCGGGTTCTCCTCTCACGTTGACTGGGGTGGTGTGGTAGCCTAATGGTTAAAGCGTTCGCTCGTCACGCCGAAGACCCGGGTTCGAATCCCCACATGGGCACAATGTGTGAAGCCCATTTCTGGTGTCCCCCGCCGTGATGTTGCTGGAATATTGCTAAATGCGGCGTAAAACCAAACTCAGTCAGTCAGTCTCACATTGACTTGAGACGCAGTGATATATTTGGAATACAGTTCAAAGTGGCGCTAAACCAAAACTCACTCATACTGCTGATATATTGTATATATTATACTTTTTTTTTATTTCATGTTTTATCGTGAAACTAATTATTCAAGTAAATTTAAAATGTTCAAAGTTCAACAACTGTACTAAACCTCATTCACTTTTATAAAAGTATGTATTAAACGTCAAACATATAATCACATGTTAGACAGAGACAGTTTCTCATGTATATAATTCTTTCTCTACACAAATGCCTATGTTTTAAATAAAAAAATACTTTGCCACAGAAAAGCAATCTAAAATAATTCTGCAAACATAGCTAATTGAATAGATCATTACACATTTGAGTGAGTGAGTGAGTTTAGTTTAACGACGCCTTTAGCAATAGTCCATTTGAGGTTCTGAGTTGTTTTGGTCTCGAAGCAAGGGTCTGTGGATCTTTGTATACATACTGTCAATATTACTTTACAGTGAGAAAGTATTATAGCTTTAACTCAGCAGGTAAAAACAGGATTCAAATTCGTTTTGATGCTAAGGTTGCCCCGCGTCTGGGGTTTGTATAGCTTTAGCAAACTAAAAACAAGTCTAATTCTCCCGAGTTTTCAACAGTTGGAAAAAATGAAATTTCAATATCTTTAAGATATATTTAGCTACTGAAAGTAAAATAAAACTTGAGATGTGTTTAGATGATTCAACAACAAAAACAACTGCTCTAAATGATTGTTGACATGTTGTGATTTTGTGAACAAGTTGCCCTCGAAAACATATTGTTGAGGCATTAGACGTGAGAGAGCACTTCAGAGATACTTGTGTGCAATGCTGATATTGTCTCTCACACTGAAGAACACAAGTAGACAAAACAGATTTCTTGAGACTGCCGTTCACCGGATATATCTATCATTCCTGTCTACCATTCCTGTCGAACATAATGAAGAGTTTTTACAAGATTAAAGATGGACAAATTCTCTCTGGTTTTGGGATATGGTTGGATGTTAAAAGTAAATAAAGTCAACTTAATGAGAATAAAAACCAAAAGAAAACAGCAGAAGCACAAAACGGAACATGTGGAGAGAAAACACAAAACCAATGTTTGAGTAAAACCGCAAGTACAAACCGGATGTACAGAGCAAGAACAAAACTAATGTAGGAGGCAGGCACAAACCGGATGTAAAGAGCAAGAACAAAACTAATGTAGGAGAGCAAGAACAAAACTAATGTAATGGAGGCAAGCACAAACCGGATGTACAGAGCAAGAACAAAACTAATGTAGGAGGCAAAGGCCAAACCGGATGTAACAGGGAGGCAGGCACAAACCGGATGTACAGAGCAAGAACAAAACTAATGTAGGAGGCAAGCACAAACCGGATGTACAGAGCAAGAACAAAACTAATGTAGGAGGCAGGCACAAACCGGATGTACAGAGCAAGAACAAAACTAATGTAGGAGGCAAGGCACAAACCGGATGTACAGAGCAAGAACAAAACTAATGTAGGAGGCAGGCACAAACCGGATGTACAGAGCAAGAACAAAACTAATGTAGGAGGCAGGCACAAACCGGATGTACAGAGCAAGAACAAAACTAATGTAGGAGGCAGGCACAAACCGGATGTACAGAGCAAGAACAAAACTAATGTAGGAGGCAAGCACAAACCGGATGTACAGAGCAAGAACAAAACTAATGTAGGAGGCAAGCACAAACCGGATGTACAGAGCAAGAACAAAACTAATGTAGGAGGCAAGCACAAACCGGATGTACAGAGCAAGAACAAAACTAATGTAGGAGGCAGGCATAAACCGGATGTACAGAGCAAGAACAAAACTAATGTAGAAGGCAGACACAAACCGGATGTACAGAGCAAGAACAAAACTAATGTAGGAGGCAGGCACAAACCGGATGTACAGAGCAAGAACAAAACTAATGTAGAAGGCAGACACAAACCGGATGTACAGAGCAAGAACAAAACTAATGTAGGAGGCAGGCACAAACCGGATGTACAGAGCAAGAACAAAACTAATGTAGGAGGCAACCACAACCCGGATGTACAGAGCAAGAACAAAACTAATGTAGGAGGCAGGCATAAACCGGATGTACAGAGCAAGAACAAAACTAATGTAGGAGGCAAACACAACCCGGATGTACAGAGCAAGAACAAAACTAATGTAGGAGGCAGGCACAAACCGGATGTACAGAGCAAGAACAAAACTAGAACCCGGATGTACAGAGCAAGAACAAAATCACAATTGGGAGAAATCACAAAACGGATACAGAGAGCAAGCAGAAAACTAATGTAGGAGCAAGCACGAAACGAATTGAGACAGCAAGCACAAACTGGACACTGAGAGCAAGCACAGAGAGGAAAGAGCGAACAAGCACGAAACAGATAGAGGGAGCAAGCATAAACATCATGTAGACAGCAAGCACAAATCGGATAAAGAGAACAAGTGAAAAAAATATGCAGAGAGCAACCAAGAAATACAAGAGCATGCACAGCAATAATTGTTCAGATATTTAAAAAGGGGGCTGAGGGGTTCTTAAGAGATGTGTGTGTGTGGCTGAGTGGTTGAGTGAGTGAGTGGACGAGTGAGTGGAAGGGTTTGTGGGTGAGTGAGTGTGTGTGTGTGTGAGTGTGAGTGAGTGGGTGTGTGAGAATGTGGGTGAGTGAGTGAGTGGGTGGGTTTGTGTGGTGAGTGGTTGAGTGAGTGAGTGTGGTTGAGGTGAGTGGTTAAGAGTGGGTGGGTGGGTGGGCGTGTGAGTATGTGGGTGTGTGAGTGGGTGAGTGAGTGGGTGGGTTGTTGGGTGAGTAAGTGGGGTGATTGAGTGAGTGAATGAGTGAGTTGTATTTCACCTACATCACGGAGTGGGAGCTCAAGGCGGGAGAGAAGCCTATGTTTCTAGAACAATCCCTGAAACTTATTAATTGCAAATATATACCAATACGTCTTTCACAGTAAACAATACAGAGGGGACCATAAATTTCGCCATAAACGACGCTCACTCAATTTATGATCACCGAGTTCATGAGTAAATATTTTATGGTCATGTACTCCAGAAACGTGCTCACTACAATTACAGATAGCTGCGTCGTGAGCCAACAGAAAGATCCAGAATGAATAAGTTAAGTACTTTCACGCCTTTGTCAGGTATAAACTGAAACGCGAAAAAAACTTTACTTCTCAGCTGATTTATGCAGTAAACTATGTTTATAACGAACTAACGGACATAACAAGCGACCTCTAGCCTTATGTTTTCGTCGAAAAGCTTATAATGAACTATGGTCATTACGAACTAAATCTAGTGCTTCCTGTGAGTTCTTCAAAGCCGTAGTTTAGCGTATGTTTGATTTCCTTTTGAATATATGGTAAGTTAGCGATATTATGCCAACAAAAACTCTATTGGCGATTAGTCAGCACACAATGAAATCTTCCACGTGATTTTTATTTGTTCTGAAATAAATTTGAATTTAATACTTATAAAAGTTTAAAAATGAAAATGCCTGTAGTACACAACTGATGGGTATGTTATAAACTACGGTTATAACGAAAAGGGACCACAAATTTTGATTCGTTATAACCGGAGTTCGTTACATGCATGTCGGCTCAACACCAAATATCCGGGGCCAAAAACAGTTCGTGATAAGCGTTTTCGTCATCGTTTTATACCTGGTGTACTTAGGAGATAAACGTCATGTGTTGGCCAATTTCCGGGTGTTATTGAGTATTTGAAGCACGGGAATTCATTCAGAACCGACGGTGTCAGCCGGAGGTTTCAAATGAATTATTCCCGTGCTTCAACACATGATGTTTATCGACATTGTAAACACAAAAGTAAACCAAAAGGTTCACACACGTTTTTTGTGTCTGCACTCATTGACATCGAGTACGGGTACAGCAGTGAAATGTCATCAGCCGGCCGTTTCGGCTGTCTCCCATGGTAGCATCTGGAACTGCTCATTTGTGACGTCATTCGCACTTTACGTCACAATATGATTTTAATGACGTCATCACAGCTGACGACGTAACAATACAATGGTGTGAGCGATATTTGTATGTATTATACGCAGCGAATTTCCGGGAATCGAATACCATTTGATCATGTTTTTCAACCAATCAGATTAAAGAACACAGTGCCTTTGGGTTTACGATGTACCTTGAAAATCAATAGCTTTGTTTGCCAAAAATGTACAACACTTCATATTCATGTATATGGTAGGGGTAGCGTCAGTTTCCTACAGTAGTCTTCATTGAACCAATACCTTTTTTATGTAAAATTACTCAAACACAAAATTATTGTTACCAACAGAAATGAGTTTTGGTTCAACAAACATTATTTTTCTCATTTTTCATTCACTTAAAAACTCATATCCTTGCCAGCCGTGACTGGTCACGTCACTCAAGGCTTGTCCAAGAAAGCGACCCAGGGGTTCGGTTAGCCTGTCATACAGACCCTGAAACAAAATACCTATCCAGCCGATGTATGTCCAGAACGTGTGGAAAGTCTAGGTTGCCATTCTTGTTTAAACTGAAGATAGTCTCTGGGCTCCTTTTTATTACATTTTGTTAGCATGATTTTTTACTCTGTAGAACATGTTCATTTCAGAAATTAGATGTTAGTCTATGGCTCGGTGGTATGGTACGCTGACCTGGTTTATAGCATGTTATCCTACCCCAAAGTCGTTAACCATTGCTCATAATATCAATCACTAGGATATCTGGCTTGAATCGATTATTTACACCCACCATCATATGTCGTAGACTACGGTTATAAGGAGTGATTGAGTGAGTGAGTGAGTTTGGTTTTACGCCGCTTTTAGCAATATTCCAGCAAAATCACGGCGGGGGACACCAGAAATGGGCTTGACACATTGTACCCATGTGGGGAATCGAACCCGAGTCTCTGGCGTGACGAGCGAACGCCTTCACCACTAGGCTACCCCACCGCCCCCACGGTTATAAGGAACGTAAAGGGATCGGTAAATTTAGTTGTAACCATAGTTCGTTATTATACAGTATACGTTATGCTGTAACTGGAATCGAGTTTTCGGTATATGCTGGAGCGACTGGGTCGTTTCGCAACTATGTAAGTTTATTCCATATAAAACACTGACTCTGTAAGCTGGTACACAATATCCTTGGAGTGAGTGAGCGAGTTTAGGTTTACGCCGCTCTCAGCAATATTCCAGCCATATGTCGGCGGTCTGTAAATGATCGAGTCTGGACCAGACAATCCAGTGATCAACAGCACAATATCCTTGGATTCGATCGGTTGCCATGATATAGAATAGATTCATGTTTACAACAAATCCTGAATTACACACACATACCATCAGTATGGAACATCTTGTGGCACAACATCTGGCTGTGGGTGTTAGAGTAGCCTAGTGTGGTTAAAGCGTTCACTCATCACGCTGAAGCCCGGGTTTAATTACCCAGTTGGTACAATGTGTGAAGCCCATTTCTGGTTTCCCCACCGTGATATTGTTGGAATATTGCTAAAAGCGGCGTAAAAGCATACTCACTCATTTGACTGACCGCGCTAACAACCGTTAGTTGTCGATGACCCGGGTAATGTAGAATACCGTGAAACATACTCCGCCTTTAATCAGAGCATAGTTTCATCTCATCTTCAAGAGCAATATTCCGAGACATGTTTCATGATATAGAAGTCGATTATAGTGACAGACAAATGAATTCAAGTTGTATCTGGTACTCAGCTTTAAGCACGTAATATGTTACATGTACACGACTGGACTCTTTAAGTATCCGTTCTACTTGACCTACATGTAGATCTACATGCCACTGAAGTCAAAACATCAGCCGTATAACCGCCCCTTGTTTACATTGGCCCTTTCAACCAGGCTATCGTTACGGCTGCCTCAACCAGACTGTGTCATACACTTTCAGAAGGCGTGATAAGACGCCTACCGCATAGGCACCCTTGTTCTAAACGGTGAACTTTCAGTTGATAAAACAGATCTGTGTGTTACAGTCATTGTTACAGCTGTGTTACAGTTGTTGGTACATGTTTGTTAGCGTTGTTGTTACAGGCGGATTATATAACGGTTGCTCTTGTCAAGGTGGCTGTTACCTGCAAGTTCTTGCTGGAGTTAAAATAACGGTGATTGCACATTGTTTTTGCCACAGTGGCTGTAACAGCCGTTATCGCAAAGGCTGTTACGGTAGTTGCCACTATGTTATGACAGTTCTTACACTTGGTTACGACCCGTGAAGGTCCGGGTTAGAATATTGACCTTCAGTAACCCATGCTTGTCGTAAGAGGCGACTAACGGGATCGGGTGGTCAGGTTCGCTGACTTGGTTGACACATGTCATCGGTTCCCAATTGCGCAGATCGATGCTCATGCTGTTGATCACTGGATTGTTTGGTCCAGACTCGATTATTTACAGACCGCCGCCATATAGCTGGAATATTGCTGAGTGCGGCGTAAAACTACACTCACTCACTACACTTGGTGACAGTAGTTACCGCGGTGGCGGTTACGATATATGTGCATTATAGTCACAGTCAGTCGTGGCCATGCAAAGCGACATCAACTCAATCACTACCGCTCTGCACCAGAGTAGCATAACCATGGCGGTGAAGTACCTGTACAAGGTGATGTTGGTGCTGTTCGTTACTGTCGCTGCAGCTGTACTGTAATACTGTGACAGTAACGACCGCGTCATACCAAAAGACGTTAAAATATGGTACTTGTTGGTCCCTGCCTGGCGCTCGGCATTAATGGGTACAAGGACTGGTCGGCTCGGAGTCAGTATAATGTGTCTGAGTGGGGTATTCATGCTTCACTGCGGCATGGTATCTCAGTGGGCTAGCACTGTAAAACCAGCTTAAGTCTTGGTTAGTACAAGCAGCCGCACATACACATACACGCGCATGCACGTCGTCATATGAGCGAAATATTCTCAAGCACGACGTTAAACCCAATTTCACCTCACTTCACCAGTAACGACCAAATCAGAATCTTTGGTCCATGTCGTATTTGTCACCGAGAGAGGAGTAGCCAAACTGTTCGTTCACTCATCACGCAGATGACCAGGGATCGATTATTCTCAAGAGTAAAACTTAGTTTTAAAAGATGATGGACATTTTTAAACTAAGCGGAGAAAAAAGTATATCAGTCACTCAGCAAGGAGTCTCAGGGAAACGGTCTAATTGTCAACCAAAAAGATCTTAGCAGTAAAACAATCGGATCTCCTATCCTGAACGGCCCCGGGACATGTATTTCATGTGTGAAGTCACGTAACGTCACGTCCTGGACGAGAGTTTCGCCCGCC